TGGCGACGTAAGTAGAATATTTAGAGTCTATAATGGCGACGTAAGTAGAATATTTAGAGTCTATAATGGCGACGTAAGTAGAATATTTAGAGTCTATAATGGCGACGTAAGTAGAATATTTAGAGTCTATAATGGCGACGTAAGTAGAATATTTAGAGTCTATAATGGCGACGTAAGTAGAATATTTAGAGTCTCTAATGGCGACGTAAGTAGAATATTTAGAGTCTATAATGGCGACGTAAGTAGAATATTTAGAGTCTATAATGGCGACGTAAGTAGAATATTTAGAGTCTATAATGGCGACGTAAGTAGAATATTTAGAGTCTATAATGGCGACGTAAGTAGAATATTTAGAGTCTATAATGGCGACGTAAGTAGAATATTTAGAGTCTATAATGGCGACGTAAGTAGAATATTTAGAGTCTCTAATGGCGACGTAAGTAGAATATTTAGAGTCTATAATGGCGACGTAAGTAGAATATTTAGAGTCTATAATGGCGACGTAAGTAGAATATTTAGAGTCTATAATGGCGACGTAAGTAGAATATTTAGAGTCTATAATGGCGACGTAAGTAGAATATTTAGAGTCTATAATGGCGACGTAAGTAGAATATTTAGAGTCTATAATGGCGACGTAAGTAGAATATTTAGAGTCTCTAATGGCGACGTAAGTAGAATATTTAGAGTCTATAATGGCGACGTAAGTAGAATATTTAGAGTCTATAATGGCGACGTAAGTAGAATATTTAGAGTCTATAATGGCGACGTAAGTAGAATATTTAGAGTCTATAATGGCGACGTAAGTAGAATATTTAGAGTCTATAATGGCGACGTAAGTAGAATATTTAGAGTCTATAATGGCGACGTAAGTAGAATATTTAGAGTCTATAATGGCGACGTAAGTAGAATATTTAGAGTCTATAATGGCGACGTAAGTAGAATATTTAGAGTCTATAATGGCGACGTAAGTAGAATATTTAGAGTCTATAATGGCGACGTAAGTAGAATATTTAGAGTCTATAATGGCGACGTAAGTAGAATATTTAGAGTCTATAATGGCGACGTAAGTAGAATATTTAGAGTCTATAATGGCGACGTAAGTAGAATATTTAGAGTCTATAATGGCGACGTAAGTAGAATATTTAGAGTCTCTAATGGCGACGTAAGTAGAATATTTAGAGTCTATAATGGCGACGTAAGTAGAATATTTAGAGTCTATAATGGCGACGTAAGTAGAATATTTAGAGTCTATAATGGCGACGTAAGTAGAATATTTAGAGTCTATAATGGCGACGTAAGTAGAATATTTAGAGTCTATAATGGCGACGTAAGTAGAATATTTAGAGTCTATAATGGCGACGTAAGTAGAATATTTAGAGTCTATAATGGCGACGTAAGTAGAATATTTAGAGTCTATAATGGCGACGTAAGTAGAATATTTAGAGTCTATAATGGCGACGTAAGTAGAATATTTAGAGTCTATAATGGCGACGTAAGTAGAATATTTAGAGTCTATAATGGCGACGTAAGTAGAATATTTAGACAAATGCTTACTATACGTGTGCTCTTATTGTTTGCAGAATAAATTTTATTAAACTCAGTGATGAAGATTGAAAACCTATAAATCTTTGTCCTTATAAACCATAAAAACTAAATATATCACCATATCTCTGCTAAATGACGGAACGCCAGGGAAATGTCATTGCTATCTCGCCTGGCCTTGTGTTACTCGAAACGGATAGTCTTTTAGGTGTTTTAATCAGAAGACTGCAACAAGCGTTACAGTGATGTTGATATACTAAACCAACCGATATTTTATTCATGTTACGTCTTCTGTGATTCCCCTACAATTTTCCAAATTAAAAAAACATGAATGAAGAAACTCATTAAGGTTGAAGTTCTGATAAGAAACTTCTAATTCTAAAATATGTTTTACTTTCACAATGCTCTACCTTATCAGATGGTAATTTTATATCAACTCTAAATTCTATTCTGTTTGAATGTATGAGAAACATTTTCACTAACAAGTAAAGTTGATGGTGGATTTAATATGTTTAAATGGGAGGCTTTCATTGATTTTCTGAAACTCAGCCTGGCCAAGAGGTATTCGTTTTTGAAATATTCAAGGTCACTTTTATTCTAAGGATGTTTACACGAAAAGAACAATTCAATAAGATCGATATTGAAATACTTGTAGTAATTAAACAACGTATCTACAATTCTAGGTGAACCAATAGAGTGCTGAACAATAATACTCTTATTGTTTAAACTCAGCACCATTAAACTCTGCAGTATCAATAAAGTTAGTCTATGCGAAATCTAGAATTTCCCGTTACCCTGACAACTATGTTGTTGATCATCAAATATCGCAATATGCATACATGTATATATTGTAGAAATGTATGTCGGCAGCCATCTCTCTCTCTCCTGTACCAAGAAACCAGTAGTACAGTGTATATTTGACATAGAATATGTATGCTTAGTCCATTGTTATTATTGATGATGATGATGATGATGATGATGATGCCATTAAGATGAAAATCTAGTGATACATCAATGATGTAATTTGATGTCACGGTGATGTGCAAGTTTTGAGAGTGAGGATGATGATGATGTGAGAGCGTGTGGAATGTATATCGATGTATTTGTAAAATATTTTTGCGAATAAACGGCTATGTTTTGAACGGATTCAGAAAGTACAGATTAAATGCTGACATCTCCACACAACTACTACTGCCTCCTTTTCGGTCGTGACGTACCATCGTTAAATATATCTCGTAGCGGCTAGTCTATGATGGCCCAGTGTGTCTGCATTTGACAGGCTTAATTTCAGTTTGTCAAACTTCTACTGCTGATGACATGCGTAGGGTAAAGGTGTCCCTCACATCACCGAGAAGTCCTGGAAGGTGTACAGTGCTGTGTAATTCATAGTATCATTTCACCTTATCATTTGTTCCGTAAATCCTTATATTCGAACAATTTTATCTATAGATTTATAGAAGCGACCAAGTGTATTCCCTGTCTTAAAAAAAATAATTGCCATAGCAATGTATCTGGTTGAAGGCCTATATCAGTCATAGTTGTCCTAGTCAAAAAGGTATGGAAAGTTGTGTATCATTTTCTTCGAGACAGTAAATAACCATCTGTTACTCGGCGATCTTTAAGTTGTTACATGTACGTATAGCAAACGACAGGTGTATGTTTCCAACTATTTTTTCTAGTCGGTAAGTATGGATTGTATAAATGTCCTTTGTGCCGTTTTCACAACCAGTTCGATGCGTACACCTTGATCAGGTAAACGGCACGATGCACTTCCTAGATACCCTTCTGGTAAAGAAAGATGACGGAACCTTGAAAGCATTGGTCTCTAGGGAAAGACGAGTGCGGACCAATACCTGAACTTCTAATACATGTTTTGTATCACATGCTTTGTACCAAAAGTTGGGCGTAGTACGCACGTTGCTAAAAAATGTGATACATTCAAGAGCAGAATCACATCGCTAAAAACAAGTGGAGAAGTTTAGTTGGTTCTCAAAATGATCCAGAACCAGAACAGGCCAGGCAAGGAGGTCAAATAATGGTCAGGTAGTCACCCGGTTTATGGAAAAATTATCCGAAATCATCCAGAGGATATTTCGAAAGGCGATTTAGGGTCCGACTTAGATACGGAAACCCAAGGGGAGAAGCAATTTACCTCTTCCCAGATCAATTAATCGGCAATCATGTGGTTAACTGGGAGAACGCCAAAATGTTGGAGAGAGAGAGAGAGAGAGCAATCTGTTTAAACGTACATGTAAGTTAAAGGAAGCTATCTCGATACGCCGCAGCGGGCCAGTTCCAAATCGAGACGAGGGATTCATAGACTCTCTCAAATCTATGACCAGATATTGAACAAAGCGTTACAAGTCACTGGTTGTTTTATTTGAACCTATATACAAGATATAGGGAGGGATATTGATAATTGGGGAGGGGGGGGTAATATTTTGTAATATAAGCAAGAATTTCGAACGGTTGTGGCACAATGGGTTAATTCATCAATTAAAGAATGTCATTATCTTTATTAGTGTGGCTTATGATGTACAAACATGTATTAAACAGAGAACCATCAGAGTCGGTTTACGTAAAGATGGAGGTCATATTTTTGTCACCACATCTTAATTGATTAAATAATGCATAAATATCAATTGTGTATGTCTTCTATCATCAAAATGCTTTTGGAATAAATAAATATACAAGTCTTGCATTTTTATCTTGGCTTAAGAAGGCCTAAGGTGTAGAATTATGTTTGTAATAAACGAATTTTGCATTAAGCTTCACGATATTGGCAACACAAAAACTTCGAAAAGAAAACAGAATATGTATTTTAGCTAATCAGCTTTAACACTTACAAACAATAAGAATATTGTTACAGCGTCTCTTTCGGATAATAATAATAATATACAACATTTATATAACGCCCTATATAATTTGTAAAATTACTCTAAAGCGCTTTACAACATATGGATAATAGTAATGGTTATAATTGTGAAAACAAAGGCTTACAATCACTTTAATACATTTAAGCAAGCAATGTGCACATAATTGAACAAATAAAAGGGTGGTATTTACATGACGTCTTTGCAAAGATTCTAAAATGCAGACGGGAAGAGGTGAGTTTTGATGTCCCTCTTGAACTTGGCCAGGGTATTTGACTTTCTAATTGCAGATGGTAAGCTATTCCACAACGTGGCCGAAACCCTCCCAAAGCATCTGTTTCCGTAGGTCACAGCACGAGATTTTGGGACACACAACAAAGATTATGACTCCGACCGCAGTGATCATGACGGCTGATACAGGGTAACAAGCTCTTGTAGGTACCGAGGAGCTGTTCCATTCAGTGTCTTGTATATATGTGTACACCAGAACGTTGTACTGCGACCTGTATCGTACAGGTACATTATAACCAGTGCAACGAATACTTCCGAGTACGAGTAACTAGCCGTGCTGCAGATCACGTTTATCTGATAACGTAATCATGTCACACGGACATCACGCTGTTATTAGTTCGACCATCTTCGGACATACAACCGTAGTATATCGTATGCAAACATGCAACCGTGTTAATAAGAGTAAATGTGACCACCTTATCAGTTATTGAAAACACATTTGACTGTGGTAAACATGTATGAAGTGGACACAGCCGTTATGTTTATGAAGTGGACACAGCCGTTATGTTTAGCATGGTATTCGACCGCGACATTTAGTGTAGACACATGTAACTACGGCACGGACCCATCCATATTGTGTTTGACGAAGAGATTACTACGTCATTTCCTGCAAACCATCATGTCGGACATTCCAGGAAGTGGTATCTACTGACGACCAACATTACGTAAAGATCGTTAGTAATCCTGTGTATACGGTAAGTATTATCGGGATGTTGACGGTCACATTCTTGTAACTAAATGCTGATTAATATAAGTTTAAAGTATACATGTGTTCATTGAATAATGCAAAATAAAGTATACGCTTTACAATCGAGGTGGGTGGCTGTCGAAATATTAGCCAAATATAAAAATTGCTGGTATACAGATGACGTCAGTGTTTCTCTACACGTCCTCAATAACTTTACTCCGGGATATTTACCTAACTCTACATACTTATAGTGTTCGCGTAGAGATAGAGGATACACTATATCGGCCGATCTCATTCAGGACATGCTGTATTTACTCAGATAATATTGACAAACTAATAAGGTGTCGGAACTTGGTGATAACAATATAAGATAGTAAATATCATATGTCTGCATTAGCAACATGTTGCATATGTTAATTTTATGAATGTTAACTAAACGCATGTATAACATAATAGTAAAGCATTGTGGGACAGTGCTTGATCTCAGGCATATGACAATGCAAGTTAGGTAAATCACGTCCTCCTGATAGCATGACAATAATTGGTTCATTAAACCAAAAATGTACAACGTGACCTTATTCCATTCATCAGATTTCTCTAATTTCTGATGAAAAAATAATAATACATGAATTTTTCTTCAAAGAATGATAGTTCTGACCTCACAAAAGGACGGAGACAGACTATAAACAAAACAAAGAAAAACAGCATATGTGTCCTTACGATGAAGATGTTACATGACACATGTACAAATGTAACATTCCTAAAACAGTACCATTTCCGGTCACTCATGCGCAAATCTTGTATAGACAGATATCATTAAATGGAAAATTACACTGCCTTGTGGGATACCAATTGTGGCGTCATTGGTCTCGGACATGAAAGTTTTTCTATGATATAACTGTGTAGTTCACTGGATATGTTTCGTTTTTTTGTAGATTTGAGGGAAAACAAACGACCCAACATGAGGGATGAAAGAGAAAAGACGCCTCTTCTTACCACACTCGACTTGGATTCGTTAAAGTTTTATAAAGCGAATATTGCGTTAGAAAACGTGACGTCATTTACGGGCCGTTACTTCCTTATGGCTCCCTGTATCCTCGTCCATTTCTTTTCTTATGTCTTCTATAATTTAGTTACCACGCAATATCTATACGACTTCTTTGCACGAAAATTAATACAAAATGTAACAGCAATGGAAATCAACCTGAATGGATCCCCGTGTACAATCATTGAGGATTCTGTGTTGTACCAACAACGGACACTTATACAGAAGGAGACAACGAAGGCGTCCCTCACCTTTGTAATAGCAGGATGTGCTCCAGCTCTCTTCATGGACGTCATCTTTGGTGTGCTTAGTGATCGTTATGGCAGAAAACTGTTTGTAATCATTTCTCTTATTGGAACGTTTGTTAAGACGACAATGACGATGGTCGGGATGCATTATAAGCTGAACGCTAGCTATTTCATAGTGTTCATTGCCGTCGAGGGGTTTGCTGGTGGGTGGTGCGCGGTCATCTCGCTTGGATTCGCATTTGTTTCAGATGTGACGTCAGTGGATAAATCTAGAACTAATTCAATTTTCCTCATTGAGATATCAGTTGGCCTCGGTTTGGTACTGGCTGGTGTCACTTCCGGTTACTTGATTGACGGAGTAGGTTTCGTCTACGCCATGATGGTATTAACAGTGCTAAATGTACTCAATATATTTATCATGTTGTTTTGCCTGCCAGACACAGTGAACGAGACCAACTGTGTTAAAGGCAGTTCACTCAGACTCCTCAGGAGTTCGTTTACCTTCTACACTCGGGACACTTCCGCTACAGCAAAACGCTGGAAGTATATTGTGTGTATGTTCATTTTCATTTTCTTTAACTTCAGCGCGCTGAGTCGTCAAACAGTTGACCAACTATACCAGCTCAACGTTCCTTTCTGTTGGGACGCCATTAAAATCGGTTGGTATTCTAGCCTCAGCGATGTATCGCGCAATGTGATAGGTTTAGCCGTCATCCGGGTACTCCAGCATTACATCTCTGACGAGTTGTTGGTGATTGTGAGCGCAGTTTCAGGGTGTACGGCCTATCTGGTGGAAGCGTTCGCTGTCAGTGACGTCATGATGTTCTTTGGTATGTATCATCTTCTATCAGTGTATGTTGTAAGTATTGTGAGTCCAGAGCGTTTACGTACAATGCGTTGTTACTTTTTTTAAGTAAGTTCTCTTTTTATTGTTAGTCAATAACATTTGGGATATGCTTCTTTTTTATCTTAACATTAAAACATATAGTGAAAGGCAGACAGGTGGTTTGGTTATACAACATGATATTGTATGCATGTTTATAATATCTTTACTTAATAAAAACACCAGTAACGATAACTCGTGTTATTTGGGGCACCGTTTTACATTTCAATCCCATTTGATAATATCACTTTTTCTCATCTATATACATACTATATCTTGTATCACCTAAATTTGTCGTGTGACATGATACATTCATTATAACGGATTGCTAAAATTGGAACAGTTATCGACAATACATTGATTTAACGACTTGTGAGGTAATGTAACTGTTTCAGTATATTTTTTCTATAATTAGAATGACTGCACGTACATTGTATTGCTATTCATATAAATGAGCTGACAGAGAGATAGTCTGTCATATAAAAAAAACCGTTTTAAAATTGGTAAGAAACACCTGAAGAAAACAACCCCATTTACATTGTCAAAAAGTGTATATAACAAGTATGCACTCGCTAGCTTGACATACAATAGTTTTACTCCGCACAAACCTTTCACATGTTGCTGTCCAAAGGGAACCCCGGGGTATCGTCGATTTTCAAGTCACACAGTGTTTTTGGGTTTGTCGTTAGAACAATTTCAATTGAAAAGAAAATGAAATCTCACGTGTTCTAATAAGCAATGTGATAGGTTAAGCCGTTATCCGGGTACTCCAGCATTACAGCCGCAGTATCATGGTGTACAGCCCTCAGCCTTAGAATGGCTGCACGTGTCCTTTGACGTCAATTTGCGGATCATTGTTATTCTTATTCATGCGCTGGTAGAGAGATGGTCTGTCATATATAAATCCTTTTTCAAGTCGTGTTTACACGAACAACTACAGTTTTAGATTTTCTTAGTACATTTATTCAGATTTTTTCTATTATTTAAGTCTTGAGGTGGGTTTTTTACAATAATTAGTGGTGGTTGCCTTAAAAAATGACCCCTTCCTTTTCGGCACTGGCGTTATTACTTATGTTTAATATCTTTATTTAAATAAACACCAGAGGTGGTATGCAGATTATTGGAAGAAGAAGTAATACGTATCCAATGAACGTTTCTTCGGATCCCGTGCCCATATTGGATCATACAATGTACCGTCGTTATTACTTATGAGACCTAAACGTATTCGAATCAGTGATAAACCGAATTGGAATATTAAAAAGTAAAACGGAGCCCGATATTTCAGTTCTAGAAAGTTTGAATACACTACATAAACTCCTTATGACTATTACTGTTTCAGTACCGGTAGTGGGTGTATTCTCCATGGTGACTGGCCCAATCCTAAGGTCCATCATGTCTAGGATGACCCCGCCCGACAGACAAGGTCCGTACACAATTATAAAACGTATATGATTTGTGAAATAACAGTTAAACACATGTGTCGTTTTATAAATTACACGTACCTATATAGTTTCTATAATGAAAATTGCTTAAAGAATGTGTACTGTTATTCAAGTCTCCGTACGTGTCTTCACTTTGTTTGTTACTATTACAGGTACGCTATTTTGTACTATTACCGGTTCACTGTTTGTTACTATAACAGGTGCACTGTTTGTTACTATAACAGGTACACCGTTTGTTACTATTACAGGTGTACTGTTTGTTACTATAACAGGTGCACTGTTTGTTACTATTACAGGTGCACTGTTTGTTACTTTTACAGGTTGACTGTGTTACTATAACAGGTGCACTGTTTGTTACTATAACAGGTGCAATGTTTGTTACTATTACAGGTTCACTGTGTGCTACTATTACAGGTGCACTGTTTCCTTATATGACAGGTGCATTGTTTCTTACTATTACAGGTTCACTGTGTGGTACTATTACAGGTACACTGTTTGTTACTATTACAGGTTCACTGTTTCTTACTATTACAGGTTCACTGTGTGGTACTATTACAGGTACACTGTGTGGTACTATTACAGGTACACTGTTTGGTACTATTACAAGTGTACTGTTTTTTTACTATTACAGGTTCACTGTGTGGTACTATTACAGGTGTACTGTTTTTTTACTATTACAGGTTCACTGTTACTATTACAGGTTCACTGTGTGGTACTATTAAAGGTACACTGTTTGTTACTATTGCAGGTTCACTGTTTCTTACTATTACAGGTTCACTGTGTGGTACTATTACAGGTGTACTGTTTTTTTACTATTACAGGTTCACTGTTTGTTACTATTACGAGTGTACTGTTTGTTACTATTACAGGTGTACTGTTTGTTACTATTACGGGTGTACTGTTTGTTACTATTACGAGTGTACTGTTTGTTACTATTACGAGTGTACTGTTTGTTACTATTACGGGTGTACTGTTTGTTACTATTACGGGTGTACTGTTTGTTACTATTACGGGTGTACTGTTTGTTACTATTACAGTACACCTGTAATAGTAACACACAGTGGACCTGTAATAGTAACACACAGTGAAGCTGAAATAGTAACAAACAGTGAACCTGTAATAGTAACACACAGTGAACCTGTAATAGTAACAAACAGTACACCTGTTTGTTACTATTACAGGTTCACTGTTTGTTACTATTACAGGTGCACTGTGTGGTACTATTACAGGTGTACTGTTTGTTACTATTACAGGTACACTGTGTGTTACTATTACAGGTACACTGTGTGTTACTATTACAGGTGTACTGTTTGTTACTATTACAGGTGTACTGTTCGTTGCTATTACAGGTGCACTGTTTGATACTATTACAGGTTTACTGTTTTTTTACTATTACAGGTTCACTGTTCGTTACTTTTACAGGTGCACTGTTTGCTACTATTACAGGTGTACTGTGTGTTACTATTACAGGTCCACTGTGTGTTACTATTACAGGTGTACTGTTCGTTGCTATTACAGGTGCACTGTTTGATACTATTACAGGTTTACTGTTATTTTACTATTACAGGTTCACTGTTTGTTTCTATTACAGGTGCACTGTTTGATACTATTACAGGTTTACTGTTATTTTACTATTACAGGTTCACTGTTTGTTTCTATTACAGGTGTACTGTTTGTTACTTTTACAGGTGTACTGTTTTTTTACTATTGCAGGGGCACTGTTTGTTACTATTACAGGTGTACTGTTTGTTGCTATTACAGGTGCACTGTTTGTTACTATTACAGGTTTACTGTTTTTTTACTATTACAGGTTCACTGTTTGTTACTATTACAGGTGCACTGTTTGTTACTATTACAGGTGTACTGTTTGTTACTATTACAGGTGTACTGTTTGTTACTATTACAGGTCCACTGTGTGCTATTATTACAGTTGCACTGTTTGTTACTATTACAGGTACACTGTTTGTTCCTATTACATGTGCACTGTTTGTTACTATTACAGGTACACTGTTTGTTACTACTATTAATGCAGGGGTTCCATTTGTTTTTACTACAGGTGCACTGTTTGCTGGTCTGGCAATGGTACAGACCCTCTGTACAATTCTTGTTGACGTTCTGACCAAGACTGTTTATCTTGCCACGGTAGAAACCGCCCGGGGGTCAGTCTTCCTCCTTTCAGCGGGCTTTTGTGCCCTCGTCCTCCTCTTTTTCGTGTAAGTTATCTTTTTATATCGTTATTACCTGCTCCTCGTCTTCCCTATCTACAACAACACACACACACACACACACACACACACACACACCCTTCCAGCATCCCTTCCTACTCAACTTCCCTACCGAACCATACCTCCATATTCTCTCCCTGCCACCTCCTTCCATTCCTCAACCTCGTATAGCATAGCATATATAATATTTACGCCAATCTAATTAAAATTATATTTTCAATCGCTACCGTTTACTGATATGTCGCGTTGAAGTCTAACAACATCCCTTAGAGGGTCACGTCAGAGGTCAACATGAATGCATTATCGTATATATAACAAGCCAATCAAAACGCGACATAACTCTTTCTTTCAACCAATCAGAAAGCAGGACCCGTAGCATTTAATGCAGACACCTCGTAGCCCAAAATCCACTTTTTCGTCTGGTCCAGTGATAGTTTGAATATTGCGAAGCCTGTCATTGGTTAATTTTAGTTTCAGGTTGTTAAACTTGTTAACGACAACATCACCAGAAGAGGAAGTCTCTCTTATTTCAAAGCAAAATCCACAAATTGTACGAACGTTGTTTTGTAGATAGACACGGCGTGGTGTCATCGGCACCGCCATTTTCGATGCTCATTTGACACCTCTCGGTCTTTTAGTATAGCAAGTGTGTTCCGAAATCATTACATCATCACTTACAGAAATGCGTAAGCTCTCATCTGATTTGTTAATGCAAAGGTCGCCTGAACATGATCCTCTACGGGATGTTGTTAGATCTTCAACGCGACATATCAGTAAACGGGAGCGATGTGAAGATATAATTTAATTAGATTGTGTTTACGCCTGATGTATGGTGATGTAGGAGTTATTTCCCTTACCACACATGATAGAGCAATCAGAAATGTTATTTTCTTGCGGTTCGCAGTAATAGCAGGAAATATATGTCTGTTCGTTTTCGCTAGGAGCTGTCAGGGGCGTAGAGTCCATAGAAAAAAAGCCCGGGCTTACACATAAAAAATCCGTGTGTGCCATTTGTCAAAAAAGTTGCCACTGAAACAAACAAAAAATGAAATCATGTTATCATGATAATATCTTAATTGACCTTTGTATTAATTATTTACTAAATACTAATAATACTACATCATACTTTCCGGAATATTTAATATGTCATGGTCGTCTATTACTTCCAATCCGGTATTTCCGGTGTTATAGTATGTTGACAGAAGTACATTTGCAAAATGAAGAAGACTTCCAATAGTTCAAAGTAGATATATACCTTCTTCAAGCCAAAATGACATCATGTTATCATGATAATATCTTAATTGACCTTTGTATTAATTATTTACTAAATACTAATAATACTACATCATACTTTCCGGAATATTTAATATGTCATGGTCGTCTATTACTTCCAATCCGGTATTTCTGGTGTTATAGTATGTTGACAGAAGTACATTTGCAAAATGAAGAAGACTTCCAATAGTTCAAAGTAGATGCATACCTTCTTCAAGCCAAAACCACGTAATACTGATGCAAAATCCGGTACATGCAAATATTGCTGATAATCTAACAAGCCCATCCGCAGGCCCAAGCATCACAAAGCAAAGCACGTGCTTGGACCCTCCAAATTCATTAAAGACACTCCAGCAAGGACCATGGTACATTAACATTAAAATTGAAGATTTAAATCCCAGCATAAAAGCAATTCAGAACAGGTTGTCCACAATCTATTGACGACACCGTCTCAGTGGCAGGGCCTAGACACATTGAATTTCCTTCAATGTAGTTAAGACAGTTATGGGTTTAGCGATATTATCGATAGAAACTACCAGAAGACTTCTCGTAAATTATCGCAGGGAAAATATGGATTAGCGTTATTGTACAAAAAGAGGGACCCAGACCGTCTCCGTCATGGTATTTAGACTGGTTAGATAGGGGAAAAAAACACTTCTGGTAGCATGACTGAAAAAATATGGAAGATCGGTCGGGATTTATATACTTATAACTTATAGAACTTTAATTATATATTTTTCTCCTTCTTTTTTAAGAGGGGTGGGACTAATTCATTTGATTATATTTTTTCATTGAAGAGTACCAAGACAAACCAAGACCGTCTTTCCACGCTAGCAATTCTACATGTCCACAGAAAAAATCCTATAAATACGGACAACGTAGTACAGACCTCCATAATACAAAAGAAAAGAAAGGTGTCTTTTTATCTCTAGACATTTCTAGCTGTAAGCTGTAAATTGCATGTTGGCTGGGCAACGTGTAGTATGAAATAAACATAATAGCGAACATAAGTTATGTGATGTTCTTCATTTCAGCGCATTTGACACTAAAATATGTCTTAAATATGTCTTTAAATAACTGTCTCGGATAACAATTTGAATTACACATATCGATGAACCTAGCTACGCCCCTGGCTGTAGTCTGATTGGTTGGGCAGAACGAGGTGTGTTGCACGTCCAGGTGACGGTAAGGGTGGAGAGTGTGAAAGCGGGTCATTCTAGCCTGTTGAACCTTACCAGACTGTTGCGTTTCTCTTTCATAATATTTTTCAGCAAATATTATAAATTGTATTATTATTCAAATACTGGTAGTGTATGGGATAAGTACAGATACACGGAAAGTTTGTGTCGTGAACTACTGTAGCGATCAGTAATTTAATTAAATTTTGTGTCTTTTGTCAATGAATCAAAGTTAACCGATTACAGATATTTTAGAGAATATGTTATCATGATTTATTTAGCGATAGTTTTTGGTCTCATGTAGTTTTCGCTGGTTTTTAGCCCAGGACGCTTTTCAACATACAAGGTGCATTTGTAAGGTTTAGTTGATAGGATTGTGCGAAGCGAGAGATATACATTTATGTGATTCAAACGTGTATTAATCTGATATGATTATGATTAAACGCCGCTCCAGTGCTACTTCGTGACAGGCAATCTCAGGTATGGTGTTGTTGGTTTATTGTTACAGTGTAGGTAGGACACGGTAAGGTTAATTAAGTGACAGTGTAGAACACATCTTTTCATTTTAGAATATTCCAGCTAAAAAAAATCTCAAAGTTAACGTTATACCAGGGTTTATTCTAATATAATGTTCCGTGTTTCAGGATATTCTCATTGGCATCGAGGAAGTCGGAGAAGGAAATGGCTTTAAATGGGTGACAGAATGATGAAACGAATAAATGAAAGGGAATTGCGATGATTTATCAAATGTAAAATGAGTTATGGCATTGTGTGTGTAAGTGACGCAAATGTTACGACACAGCGTAGATGAAAGCGATGAAATGACAAATGTCGGAAAAATGAATCGATGAAGATCTTTCGTATCATGTTGTTAGTAAATGAAAGGGGTGACCTTTTATTGGTAAATGATGGACCGTGACATTTCATTCAATCGAGGAGTTAACATGGCATTGTGCTGGTGAAGAAGGAGCATGACTCAATGTCGGTGAAAGAGAGGAGGGTATGACATCGTATTGATGAAGGGGTGAAAATGATTTAGTTGTGGATGAAGGGGTGGACATGACTTAGTTGTGGATGAAGGGGTGAACATGACCAAGTTGTGGATGAAGGGGTGGACATGACTTAATTGTGGATGAAGGGGTGAACATGACATAGTTGTGGATGAAAGGATGAACATGACTTAGTTGTGGATGAAGAGGTGAACATGACATAGTTGTGGATAAAGGGGTGGACATGACTTAGTTGTGGATGAAGGGTTGAACATGACATAGTTGTGAATGAAGGGGTGAACATGACGTAGTTGTGGATGAAGGGGTGTACATGACTTAGTTGTGGATGAAGGGGTGAACATTACTTAGTTGTGGATGAAGGGGTGAACATGACCAAGTTGTGGATGAAGGGGTGGACATGACTTAGTTGTGGATGAAGAGGTGGACATGACTTAGTTTTGGATGAAGGGGTGAACATGACAAAGATGTGGATGAAGAGGAGAACATGACTTAGTTGTAGATGAAGAGGTGAACATGACATAGTTGTGGATGAATGGGTGAACATGACTTAGTTGTGGATGAAGGGGTGGACATGACTTAATTGTGGATGAAGGGGGGAACATGACATAGTTGTGGATGAAGGGGTGAACATGACTTAGTTGTGGATGAAGAGGTGGACATGACTTAGTTTTGGATGAAGGGGTGAACATGACAAAGATGTGGATGAAGAGGTGAACATGACTTAGTTGTGGATGAAGAGGTGGACATGACTTAGTTGTGGATAAAGGGGTGAACATGACAAAGATGTGAATGAAGGAATGAAAATGACATAGTTGTGGATTAAGGGGTGGGCATGACTTAGTTGTGGATGAAGGGGTGAACACGACATAGTTGTGGATGAAGGGATGAACATGACTTAGTTGTGGATGAAAAGGTGAACATGACATAGTTGTGGATGAAGGGATGAACATGACTTAGTTGTGGATGAAAAGGTGAACATGACATAGTTGTGGATGAAAGGGTGAACATGACATAGTTGTGGATGAAGAGGTGAAAATGACATAGTTGTGAATGAAGGGGTGAACAAGACATAGTTGTGGATGAAGGGGTGAACATAACTTAGTTGTGGATGAAGAGGTGAACATGACATAGTTGTGGATGAAGGGTTGAACATGACATAGTTGTGGATAAAGGGGTGGACATGACTAAGTTGTGGATGAAGAGGTGGACATGACTTAGTTGTGGATGAAGGGGTGAACATGACAAAGATGTGAATGAAGGAATGAAAATGACATAGTTGTGGATGAAGGGGTGGGCATGACTTAGTTGTGGATGAAGGGGTGAACATGACAAAGATGTGGATGAAGAGGTGAACATGACTTAGTTGTGGATGAAGAAGTGAACATGACATAGTTGTGGATGAAGGGGTGAACATGACTTAGTTGTGGATGAAGAGGTGGACATGACTTAGTTGTGGATGAAGGGGTGAACATGACAAAGATGTGGATGAAGAGGTGAACATGACTTAGTTGTAGATGAAGAGGTGAATATGACATAGTTGTGGATGAAGGGATGAACATGACATAGTTGTGGATGAAGGGATGAACATGACTTAGTTGTGAATGAAGGGGTGAACATGACTTAGTTGTGGATGAAGGGGTGAATATGACATAGTTGTGAATGAAGGGGTGAACATGATTTAGTTGCGGATGAAGGGGTGAACATGACATAGTTGTGAATGAAGGGGTGAACATGACTTAGTTGTGGATGAAGGGGTGAACATGACAAAGATGTTGATGGAGGGATGAACATGACTTAGTTGTGGAAGAAGGGATGAACATGACATAGTTGTGGATGAAGAGGTGAACATGACTAAGTTGTGAATGAAGGGATGAACATGACAAAGTTGTGGATGAAGGGGTGAACATGACATAGTTGTGGATGAAGGGGTGAACATGACAAAGATGTGGATGAAGAGGTGAACATGACCAAGTTGTGGATGAAGAGGTGAACATGACATAGTTGTGGATGAATGGGTGAACATGACTTAGTTATGGATGAAGGGGTGGACATGACTTAGTTGTGGATGAAGGGGTGAACATTACTTAGTTGTGGATGAAGGGGTGAACATGACATAGTTGTGAATGAAGGGGTGAACATGACATAGTTGTGGATGAAGGGGTGGACATGACTTAGTTGTGGATGAAGGGGTGAACATGACAAAGATGTGGATGAAGAGGTGAACATGACTTAGTTGTGGATGAAGAGGTGAACATGACATAGTTGTGGATGAAGGGGTGAACATGACTTAGTTGTGGATAAAGAGGTGGACATGAATTAGTTGTGGATGAAGGGGTGAACATGACAAGGATGTGGATGAAGAGGTGAACATGACATAGTTGTGGATGAAGAGGTGAACATGACATAGTTGTGGATGAAGGGATGAACATGACATAGTTGTGGATGAAGGGTTGAACATGACTTAGTTGTGAATGAAGGGGTGAACATGACTTAGTTGTGGATGAAGGGGTGAACATTTCTTAGTTGTGGATGAAGGGGTGAACATGACATAGTTGTGAATGAAGGGGTGAACAAGACTTAGTTGTGGATGAAGGGTTGAACATGACTTAGTTGTGAATGAAGGGGTGAACATGACTTAGTTGAGGATGAATGAGTGAATATGACAAAGTTGTGAATGAACGAGACGACATAAATCATGTTTGGGAAGAAGACATGACATTTAGCTGGTGAAAGAGGAAACATGACATTAAGCTGGTGAAAGAGGAAACATGACATTGTTTTGGTAAAGGAGGGGAAGTGAAGCATCATTGTTTAGGGAATATGATTTCTTGTTCGCATATCTATGTACTGCGGAGAAACTCTTTAACAAGGACAACAAAAGTCCGTCATTTGACGATGAGAATACATGTGTATAATTGTTGAATTTAGATGTGAACATGATACGTGATGGAAAATTGTTGAGATGCTCCGTGTTTCTGTACAATAAATCACGGGATGTTTTAAAATGTAAATAAAACATGTACCTCCTTATCAAACGTAGTAAGTGATACGACACCTCGACACGCGATGTTTCGTGCCTAGAATACGGTCACAGTTACATGATCAGAGACCGACATGTACCCGGTGTCTGCCAGCTAGTCGGGTAGGACACCCATCATTCTTGATGTTACCATTAAAAGTACAAATACAGCTACAGCAAACATAACCCTAAACAATGTCGGAAAATAATCCGAAGTTAAGGTTTCTATACAGAACTACAAGATTCCAGTCAAAAATAGGGCGAATGTTTTGTCATGGCCTCCTTTCAGTAGTTCGCAACATAATTCCCTATATGCTGAATTACCTTTGGATTGAAAGCAATGTAAAAATACTTATTTCAAAACAGAACTACTTGTTTATACACATAACTTCTTGTTTATACACAGAACTACTTGTTTATACACAGAACTCCTTGTTCATACACAGAACTACTTGTTTATATACAGAACTACTTGTTTATATACAGAACTACTTGTACATGTATATAAACAGAACTACTTGTTTATATACATAACTTCTTGTTAAAAACAGAACTGCTTGCTTATTTACAGTACTACATGTTTATATACTGAACTACATGTTTATATACAGAACTACTTGTTTATACACAGAACTACTTGTTTATACACAGAACTACTTGTTTATACACAGAACTACTTGTTTATACACAGAACTACAGTACTATATGTTTGTATACATAACTACTTGTTTATACACAGAACTACTTGTTTATATACAGAACTACTTGTTTATACACAGACCTACTTGTTTATACACAGAACTACTTGTTTATAAACAGAACTACTTGTTTATACACAGAACTACAGTACTATATGTTTGTATACATAACTACTTGTTTATACACAGAACTACTTGTTTATATACAGAACTACTTGTTTATACACAGACCTACTTGTTTATACACAGAACTACTTGTTTATAAACAGAACTACTTGTTTATAATATACGGAACTACTTGTTTATATACAGAACTAGTTGTTTATACACAGAACTACTTGTTTATACACAGAACTACTTGTTTATACACGGAACTACTTGTTTATACACATAACTACTTGTTTATATACAGAATTACAGTACTTCATGTTTATACACAGAACTACATGTTTATACACGGAACTACTTGTTTATACACAGAACTATTTGTTTATACACAGAACTACTTGTTTATACATAGAACTACTTGTTAATATACAGAATTACAGTACTACATGTTTATACACAGAACTACTTGTTTATACACAGAACTACTTGTTTATACACGGAACTACTTGTTTATACACATAACTACTTGTTTATATACAGATTTACAGTACTTCATGTTTATACACCGAACTACATGTTTATACACGGAACTACTTGTTTATACACAGAACTATTTGTTTATACACAGAACTACTTGTTTATACATATAACTACTTGTTTATATACAGAATTACAGTACTACATGTTTATACACAGAACTACTTGTTTATACACAGAACTAATTGTTTATACACAGAGCTACTTGTTTATACAAAGAACTACTTGTTTATAAACAGAACTACTTGTTTATATACAGAACTACTTGTTTATACACAGAACTACTTGTTTATACACAGAACTACTTGTTTATATACAAAATTACTTGTTTTTATACAGAATTACAGTACTACATGTTTATACACAGAACTACATGTTTATACACAGAACTACTTGTTTATACACAGAACTACTTGTTTATAAACAGAACTACTTGTTTATACATAGAACTACTTGTTTCTATACAGAATAACAGTACTACATGTTTATACACAGAACTTCTTGTTTATACAAAGAACTACTTGTTTATAAACAGAACTACTTGTTTATATACAGAACTACTTGTTTATACACAGAACTACTTGTTTATAAACAAAACTACTTGTTTATAATATACAGAACTACTTGTTTATATACAGAACTAGTTGTTTATACACAGAACTACTTGTTTATACACAGAACTACTTGTTTATACATAGAACTACTTGTTTATACACAGAATTACTTGTTTATACACAAAACTACTTGTTTATATACAGTACTACCTGTTTATATGCAGAACTACTTGTTTATGCACAGAACTACTTGTTTATACACAGAACTACTTGTTTATATACAGAACTACTTGTTTATATATAGAACTAATTGTTTATACACAGAACTATTTGTTTATATACAGTACTACTTGTTTATATACATAACTACTTGTTTATATACAGAACTACATGTTTATATACATAACTACTTGTTTATATACAGTACTACTTGTTTCAAAACAGAACTACTTGCATATATACAAAACTACTTGTTTATATACAGAACTGTTTTTATATACATCACTACTTGTTTTTATACAGAACTACTTGTTTATATACATAACTACTTCTTTATATACCAAAAAACTTCTTTCCCTACAAAACTACTTGTTTATTTAACTTTATTATGTTACAACATTTTAAGTTTTATCAAAACAGATCATCCATCTTGTTGACTCAATAATAATCACAAGGGGTACCGAGAGAAAACTCATGACCACCATTTTACAACGAGGGCTACAGCCAACTTACTTGTTTACAGTATAGAACTTCTTATTCTTATATAGAAATGCATACATGTACATAATTACATAAATACAGGACTACTTATTTACACACAGAACTAATTGTGTGCAGACGGAACTACTTGTTTTCGTATTAAACGATTTTTTTTACTTATGAAACAGCCTGTTTACAAACAGAACTTAATATTTTTATGGATGTACCGAAGTTATCTCTGTATATACAGAAATATTTATTAATACATACATCTATACACGAATCTATGTAAACAGTCCCTCGCACGTCTCCACGACATTCTGGTTTTCACGATACGTTTGTTTACGTATCGTATGATACATATAACATTGACAAAACCAGGTGATCTGGAAATCCGGGTATAATCAAAATCGGCACGGCGTCAACAATCCGTGTTCAAATAGAACACGCCCACAAATTTAAACCGAACGGTTGTTTCAGCGTGTCACTCACTGCATCTGTCTCGTCGATTGGTCGATAGAACGTTTTAGGTTTGGTGTCGTCCTTGATTTCAAAAGCAGTGTACAACATTGTACTTTTTTCGGAGACTTGTTGTTTGCGCGCATTATCAACTTAAGATTAAGCATACACGTATATGGAAATGTAAAATTTACATTGCATGTACATGTTTCAAACCCTGTGTCACGACTTGAATGTTTTGTTGAATGTGTACTTATCCACATTTTCGTCAAGTATATAGGTACTTTTTATTGCAAGGGGGCAAAATGAAGAATATTACAAATGCTTGAGAGCTGTCCATAACGGCCACTGCACTGAAAAGTAATATCATAGAACGGTGCCTGTATAATTATGAGAACGTTTCATTCAATTGGTACCTCTCAACATAGGCCACTATTAATGCGTTATTTAAAAATGATTCTCAAACAAAACAGTAAGAAAAATGTCTGGAATGTAAACTATTCAGCCTTACTGTGTCATTATTAATGAGAAATGAACATACAGCTGAAATAACCTTGTCCTCATGGTTGTCTAAACAGTTTCTTTAGATTGTGATTTAACTGTAACAATGGCGCTAACGGTATCGCAATAGAGAAAGAGGTATCGGTGTTGACATGGGACTTACTACAAACCCTAAACAGTGACATGTGACCGTTAAACCACTTACACGGGACCTCATCCTTGACCTTAATTTAACCAACAAATGTCAACAGTTGGGTGACAAAGCTTTCTCTGTGTCTAGGGATAAAGAAAATATTGGTAACCAGCTTTAGACATTTGTAGGACAGAAAACAAACTAGGATCACTAGGGAGAGATGGCTTTGGTGCTTAGCAACATACAAAAACCTAACATGCCACCAGAGAGAGATGGCGTTGGTGCTCAGCAACATACACCAACCCAACATGCCATCAGAGAGAGATGGCGTTGTTGCTCAGCAACAAACAACAACCTAACATGCCATCAGGGAGAGATGGCGTTGGTGCTCAGCAACAAACAACAACCTAACATGCCATCAGGGAGAGAGATAGCTTTGGTTATCAGCAATAGACAATGACATACCACCAGGGAGAGATATGGCTTTTGTCTATTGCAGAAACAAACAATAAAAGATCACAGGGAGAAAGAAGATTTTGGTATTCAGCGACAGACAACAACAATACGTCCCACCGTGTCAGAGACAGCTTTGTTGCTCGATTATAGACAATGGTATATTATGTTGCTAACTGAACTACAATTGTCATTAGTTAGGTACCAAAACTGTCCCTGTTAAAAAATGTAGAGAAGGTTTTCAACTGTTCAACTGTTTCACTGTTGTCTATGGTTAAGGACCAAAGCCTTTCTCTCTGGAGGTATGTACTGTTGTCTATGGTTTTGGACAAAAGTCTTTCTCTCTGGAGGTGTATATTGTTGTCTAGGGTTTAGGACAAAAGCCTTTCTCTCTGGAGGTGTGTACTAATGTCTATAGTTTGGGACCAAAGACTTTCTCTCTGGAGGTGTGTACTTATGTCTATAGTTTTGGACCAAAGATTTCTCTCTGGAGGTGTGTACTGTTGTCTATTGTTTAGGACAAAAGTCTTTCTCTCTGGAGGTGTGTCTTGTTGTCTAGGGTTTAGGACAAAAGCCTTTCTCTCTGGACGTGTGTACTAATGTCTATAGTTATGGACCAAAGGCTTTCTCTCTGGAGGTGTGTACTTACGTCTATAGTTTTGGACCAAAGCCTTTCTCGCTGGAGGGGTGTACTGTTGTCTATTGTTTTGGACCAAAGCCTTTCTCGCTGGAGGGGTGTACTGTTGTCTATTGTTTAGGACAAAAGTCTTTCTCTCTGGAGGTGTGGACTAATGTCTATAGTTTTGGACCAAAGATTTCTCTCTGGAGGTGTGTACTTACGTCTATAGTTTTGGACCAAAG